ATATATATACTCGATAAAAAAAAATACAAATTATCTTTAAAAAAAAAAAAGAGATATACTTAATTGTAGAGTCATAAGAATATGCAATGTTATCACAACGAGCTCGCCTAAGGCGAGTTGAAGAACTTGATAAATGGATAGATACGTGGCTGATGTATCTAATAAGCAGTTCTGTGTGCAAGAAGGTGGTAAGCACGTGATAAAGGGCTAGGCATTAATCGAAAAAAAAAATTTACATTGTGTAGTCATGAAGTTGCGAGCTCGCTCAAGGCGAAATGAAGATCTCGACGGATAGGGAGCCAGATAAATCGACAGGCAAGTGAGAGATACAGAGGGTGAAAACTAGTACACTTCAATAAGTATTAGCTCATCGGTAGTATCATCAATTTAAATGTATATATGTATATATCTAGTACATTAAATGTAACATTATTGTCACATTATTGAATGGATAATCAATAAGTATCGCCCCTTAACTTAAAAAATATGATTTTCGAATTATCACGAATGAATGAAGTAAATATAATTCTATCAATCATCAAAACTTATAAAGTACTGACTTAGTTTCATAAAGAATACAATAGTCAAAATCATCACAACTAAAAATGATTTTTTTTTTAAATTATAAAATAAAATTAATAAAAATATGACATTTGATTATATTAAAAATATATATTATTTTGGCCGATATTATTTGAGTAATCAATAATTTTCTCTCTATCACAAGTTGAAAAATAATTCTTCCCCTTTCCTGAAAAATTTAATTGTATTATTCATTATTTTTAAAGTTCACCATTTGCTACAATAACGACGCAATTCAAAATTTTCTAGAAAATGAGTTTAAATATTTTATCAAAACGCTGATAAAAGGCTCTGATACAAGGATGATAAAATTTGCAAAAATGATTGTCCGACACAAGATCTCGCTTAATAACAGAAAATGTTAATATCTATTCCATCTAACTTCATTAGGCGTGATGAGGACACGCTTAATGAATCTGTTAGTCAAGTGAAACGGAGATGTGTAAGAGATTTCCGTGATTCCAGATAATCTCGAGATAATCGCGCGACGTTTACGCGAACATGTTGAAGATAACGATAAAGTACCGTTTAACAAATACAAATAACAGATGTGACATATAATACCTTGGCGTAGACCCGCGACGGTCGAAGCTGTCAGAGTGATCCTCGATTTTGATATCTAATGGCAAGCTAATAGGAAGTCATTCCGATTGATGAGGGATAAGAGGAAAAATCTGGAGATCCGATAAGTTTAATTTGGCGTACGGAAAAACGCATACGAGCATCATATGCAGCTTCAAGGATGAGCTACAGATGAATCACGTTTCTCCACTGAATGTTTGAAGAGTTGCATTTATTCTGTAGATGAGATAAGAGTGACGCATCTCCGACAATGCGAGAAAATATTGTAAGTCCTATATGAAGAAGGGAAAATAACATTTGATATGTTAAGAATGTATTTTTTTTTTTATGTTATTCAATAATTTTCTGTCAAATTAAAAAATAGTTTTTTTCCTTTTTCTAAAGAAACTTCATAGCTTTGTCGAAGCATTTAAAAGTTTTGCTAGATAAAGATCTAAATATGATTTTGTTAAACTATCAAAATAGTTGACTGCGTTCAGCAGAAAAAGCAACTTTGCAACTGTTGTAAAAAATATTTTTTAATGATTAATTTTATCCTCTTTACTCTTTAATAGATCTAAATATATGTCTAGTTCTGTTAAAGAATCTTACAATAAAAAAAAAAAGTCCAGTTACATTGCAATTCCAGTTAAAATAATCCAGTTATAATAATTCTAATTGAGAGATAAAAATCTGATTAATATAATTAGAATGATTCGTCCATTTTTTATCGGAAATTTTTACAAGAGTTGTAAAATTGCTTTTTTTCTAATTGCAATTATAATGTAGGATGCAGATAGTTGCTAGAATGTCAAATTTTTGCAACATTGCTTATATCATGCTTGAATGTCCTATATAACTATTTTTTGACAGTTTAACAAAATCATTTTTAAATCTATATGTGTAGTTTTCAGTTATTCCAAGAAAATCGTTCCTCCTATGTGGATATCTTACCGAATACAGGGAATATCTCAGGGAATATTCTAAACCACAAATACGCTATTCAGCTCACAGGATAGATAAAAATAAAACCTGAGATTATCGAAAGTAAACAAGAATCTAGTATAGTTTAAGCATACAGCGAATACATTTCGTACACAAAACATGTCGACGTGGAAATCTGTCACAAACGTTGACGAGGTTGACGCATGTAATTTTACTTAAGGAAAAAAATACTCGACTACGAAAACACCGAGGTGCACGTCATTCGACTCCAATGCCTCGATTCGCACCAGTCATTCGTGGAAAATGCTTCTCGAGTCCATTCAAGTCCCGTAGATATATACACTGAGAAAAATGATTTGGTTAAAAGTAGACCAGAAAATTTTAATTAAATCAATTAGAATTTCAATTATCTCAACAATTTTGTAATAGTACAGTCAATTAGAAAATCTGATTAATCTATAAAAATTTGAATTGTTAAAATGACTAAAATTCTAACTAATTTCAGAATCTTCTACACTAAAAAAATGTATTAAATTTTAATCTTCACTTACAATAAATAAATATTTAGATAAATGAAAAAAAATTATAACTGAATCTAATGGTTCTTATATCTAAGATGTGTTTACATTCAGCAAATATTTTGCTAGTACTATTCAAAGTAATATTTATTAAATATTTATTAGAATTTAATAATTTTTTTCTCATTGTCAGTGTAATTTTCCCATTTTCAACCAAACTATTTTTCTCAGTGATAATGTTCGAGGACCTGAATTTTTCATTTTCGGGTTAATTTATGCATAAATTTAACCTCTCTTAACTTGATGATATAAAAATTGTGTGTTTCTAGCTACAATTAATCATTGAACAAATGATCTTGTAATATATGACTTTGAAAGTTACTCACTATAAAACCATCAGTTTAAAAGTGACGTCAGTTTAGTGATTAACCATGGCTGCGTTCAACAGAAAAGGCAGCTCTGTCCGCAACTGCTGTCAGAAAGAGAGATTCTTTTACATGATTGATTCTTAAGTTTCTCACTAAATCTAAACGTATAAAATCAATCATATAAAAAAATCTTACAACAATTGCGAAGTTGCTCTTTTTGCTGAACGCAGCTAACAGCCAGAAAAATACAATTGCATTATCATCAGACTAAGCGTAACCATGAGCGGAAAATGAAAAACCGTGCCTCGGCGCGACTGAAAAGGAACGGAGAGGGGAAAAAAAACCACGCGAGCGCGAGCAATTTCGTACACAAACGGCGGGTTGTTTACGCGCGGGTGAGCGCCAGGAGGGAATTTTGCGAGAGAATGAATGGGACGGGCGGCCATCGGCGCGGTGGAACGGGTCTGGCCTTTCGGGTCGTGTCGGGAAGATAGGTATGCGACTTGACGTCCGAGAAAACCTCGACTACCTGAGACCAGATGCCGGAGTATTATAGTCCGCATACGGGACACGACACGCGCGACTGCCGTCCGGGAGACTGACCGTTGTTCGCTATACGTGAATTTACGTTTCTCGCCACGACGAGGACGTGCTCGCCGTAAACACGGGGAATGGCAGCTGAACGAATCGTACGGATGCCTATATTCCACGTCGAATACGCGCCGCACACAGACGCTGAGAATCGTCGGGAAGAATCGCCCGCGAGGAAAACGGCAGACTCATTTTCAGAAACCGTCGGTCCCGAAGAATCTCGCAAGGTGGAAGCGAATCGCAGCGAGACGAATGGAACGCCCGCGGCGCGGTGCGGGAGAGGAGCGACAAGGACGAACGTACGCGACGGTCGCGTCGAGAGAGAGAGAGGGAGAGGGAGAGGGAGAGAGAGAGAGAGAGAGAAAAAGAAAAGAGGGTGAGAGCGATACTCACCCAGAGCTCCGTGCCCCAGCTCATGTTTGCTGGGCCGGGTAAACCAGCGGGCGCGACGGCGAGTAATTATCCTTCGCGACACTTCACATGTAGCGACGACGTGCGTGTCGCTCGTTTCGCTTCACTGTCGTGCACCTCGCGGGCCACCGTATCACACTCGCGCGCACCCGCGCAGCGCGCTCGACGAACGAGGGCGCGGGGGAGAGAGAGAGAGAGAGGAAAAGAAAAAAAAAAAGAGGAGATCCGAGAAACGCACGGGAAACGCACGCGTCAGAGATCACCCGCCACGCGCACGGTCACACGAAACATGTCCAACATGTCGCTCTCATAACCACCGACTGGCCCGTCCATCAACCTCCGTCGCTACCGCGGCGCCGCCGGGACTGACCGTCGCGGAAAACCGCCCGGAATTCCGACGTGGCGCGCTCTAGCGGCGGGGCGCCGCGAGACGCATGCGCCGCGCGTGGCGGCCGCGCGAGATTTGAATCGCGAGAGGAACACGTTTTCGATTCATCAACGACAACGCGATATGCGCGGGCACGAATTGACGCGTTATTGCGATTAATCAAATGCGTCATTAGCGACCACGATAAGTCACGTATTCTGCGTTTTTACACGTACATCCTCCGATTGTTTTAAACGCTCGAGTTACTAATTAACTTGAACTGATTTCGGCTAATTGGTCGAAGCGCATATTACGCGCGAACATCAAATGCACATCATAATTCTTGAGAAATTAATCCTGTCAGTTCTGTTAAAATAAAAAAGGTCAACATCTTTTTTTTTCTATATAGAAAATGTAGAATATTAAATAACAGATTTATAATACAATATAATACTCGTATGTTTATAAGTATGTAATTGTTGGAAAGTTAAATCAATAAAAAATTGAAATTATAGGCTTACAGTGTCAGTTAAGATCATTCATACAATCAGTTTGCGTCGACTTATGACGTGTACTTGTCAGGTGCATCCGTTGTATCTGGTATACGTAATAAATAATTTATTTTAAACCATCGATCTCGGAGCCGCGCGAACAAAATGGCGCTGGATGACTCGAGCGAAGTATCAAAGGTCGTTTACTTGCGAGATAAATAATTAATTTTTCGTCCCCGCGGACTCAATTAACTCGTTTACGTTTTCGTGTAGTTTCGTGCTTGCTAACGTATGCGGTCCTGGTCGAGACACATCTTGTTTTTGGGCGGATTTTTCGTTGGAGGAGACATGAGTACCCACTATGGAGGTTGTGCATATATTTACTGCCTTGAATTATTCTTCGTACACTACTTTTTTTCTGATCGATATGGTTTTCGAGATGTCATGCATGTGTGTGATCGTGTATATACATTAATTAATCTCGGAGGTCATTGACATTTACAATTAAATTTTTACTAATACAGAGACGTAACCTAAACCAAGTGTCATTTTAATCTGTAAACCCTGTAAACTGAGGGGATTCAGAATTTTTTCTTTTGTGTGTGAGAGAGAGAGAAAGAGAGAGTAGTTATATTATTGCGTTATACATTGCGTAACTTATTTAAGAGACATTATATTGCATAAATTTTTAAGTAATGATATAAGAATTATTTTATGAATAAACAAAATATTAATAAAAAATGTCATTTAAAAATAATGTTATCTCTCAGATCTATCTATATATATAGTGAACAAAATATTTTTTATTTTTAAAGATAGATTAAAATTTGCATAATTTAGTTTAATAAAAGTCAGAACTCTGTTTTTAGAAAAAATAAAAAATTTAACTGATAAAATAAGAAGTTATTGTATATTATTTTAAATTACTGTCTGTTTATTCAAGAAATAATATATTTAAGAAAACAATTATATATATTTGTAATATACTAATGATAGAATGTGTTAAACACAGGTGATAGAATTATTTAATAAGTTCAATGAGAGCCTGGGGTCATACATATTTTCAAGATGGATTGGAAGGTTTATAGAGGAATATCAATCATCGAGGACGCTCTTTGTTATTGCCACAATTTTACTCCTTATTTTCTTAATTGCGTCGATCTTTGTGGTACGCAAATGGAAGAACAAAGAATTTTTGCCAGAGGTGAAGGAGTTTGTTGGAGTGGGTACAGGAAAGCCAAGGTTCAGAAAGAGAGACAAGGTTCTCTTTTATGGCAGAAAGATGTTGCGCAAAGTAAAGTCCATTGGTGGCCAAGTGCACTCAACTGGACAAGGGAAGAAAAGAAGAGCAGTCATGAGATTTGCTCGTCGATTGTTGCAACTTAAAAAGGATACTGTCCCACAACAGCTTAAAGTATGTATCACAATGATTAACTATATAAATAACAATTATGGATTTTATTTGATATATGTCTAAGCAAATTATTTAATTTCAAGGTATTAGAACCACCTGCTGAATATTTGGAAGAAGATTTAGGTCCTGGTGAGAGAGTACCACCAGATGCCCTGTATATGTTACAAAGTATTAGAGTCTTTGGTCACTTTGAAAAACCTGTTTTCTTGAAATTGTGCAAATACACAGAAATTATGAATTTACCTGCTGGTAGCACATTATTCAAGATTGGGGATCCCGATGAGAATTTATTTATAGTACAGCAGGGTTTAGTCAATGTATATATCACTGGATCCGATGGTTCTCAAATATCATTGAAAGTAGTAAAAACGGGTGAATCAGTTACCAGTCTTCTTAGCTTTACGGATGTACTTACCGGTCATACAAGTACATACAAAACTGTATCAGCAAGAGCTGTAGAAGATTCTGTTGTAGTAAAGTTACCAATGAGCGCGTTCCAAGAAGTAAGTGATGCATTTACAGTCTATCTTTTCTATCTATTTCATTTATCTTTCAATATTTCTATTATTATATATTATACAAGGTGAAATAAATCGAGAGATATTTTACATATAGTGCTGATATTTTTTCAGGTATTTCAAGATTATCCTGATGCCTTTGTTCGAGTTATCCAGGTCATTATGGTACGCCTGCAAAGAGTTACCTTTACCGCTTTACACCAATATCTTGGTCTTTCTGCAGAATTAGTCAATCAGGGATCGCATAAGAAGAAACAGAGTCCATTCTCTGGTTCACCGGTACGATCAAGAACCAGAGAGAACTTTGCTTCACAAAACATGGAAAGTGTACCTGGTATATTTCCAATGGGTACATCAGAAATGCACGATATCAGTGATAGTTCTCATCGTGACACAAGCGCTTCTCAACCTGTGCCAATAATTATGAATCGACGGTAAGAAATTTTTTAATCAAACTGTTATAAATTAACAATATCATTACATTTATATTATTTATAATATTAAATACATCTTTTTATAAATCAATGTATTAAATAGATTAAACAAATTTATTAGAATAACTGGTTAATTTCTTGGAATTATTTCACAGAAAGAGTAATGTCGACTGGAAAGGTTTTAATGTACAAGCTAGTCAGAATAATTCTGCAGAGATGGTACCAGAATGTGACTCTCACTGGACAACATCACCTCTTATAGCACAGTCCACACATGGATCACATCCTGAATCCTCTCATTCTTATTCTAGCAAAAAGCGTCAGATTAATGAGGCAATGCAGCAACAGCAACAACAACTGGACGAAGCACAGCTCGTACAAATAGCCACAGATGCATTTGTTCTTGAACTTGGCATAGAGGACGAGAACGTGCTTAAAGATAAAGTGCAGATCAGGGAAGTACCAAGTGGTACTCACCTGATGAAAGAAGAATCTCATAAGGTTTGCCACTCTACATTTTAAATACAAAGTATAAGTTACATATGAAGGAAATTATTTTTTTTTCATAAATATATTGTAGAAATATTAAAATTTAATTGTGTTATAGGATGTTGCACTTGTATATGTGCTTTCGGGTTCGCTAATAGTAAGTCAACGCGTATCGGAAGGTCGAGACGCGGGACAAGAAGTGCACATGTTCAGTGCTCATCAAGGCGAAATTGTCGGTGGTTTAGCAGTATTAACTGGCGAGCCATCTTTTTATACAATCAGAGCAAAGCATGCCAGCCGTATCGCGTTACTCAGCAAATCAACATTCTTCGCTATCATGCGAGACCAACCTACTGTCGTGTTGCACGTGGCACATACCGTTGTTCGTAGATTAAGTCCTTTCGTAAGACAGGTAGGAATCTGCAAAAAGAAACGAACTCCTATTAAAAGACAGAATTTTAAACGAATGTATTATTGTTTCTTGGATAGGTGGATTTCGCTCTTGATTGGTTGTTTCTTGAAAGCGGACGAGCCGTTTATAGACAAGGGGATGAATCAGACTCGACATTCATTGTGTTAAGCGGACGATTGCGATCGGTAATTACTTACAAAAACGGCAAAAAAGAACCGGTAGCAGAATATGGAAAGGGTGACTTGGTGGGAATCGTAGAAATGGTCACACAAACTCCGAGATCGACGACGGTCATGGCGGTCCGGGATTCTGAGCTAGCGAAGTTACCGGAAGGTTTATTCAATGTGATCAAACTCAGATATCCAATTGTTGTCACGAGATTAATAAATCTTCTTGGCCATCGCATACTCGGCACTTGGCAGCAAGCACATACAAAAAACAACAGCAATGATACTCAGTAAGTATAAGATATTATTGTATATGCTATAATAAATACACATCATCGCATCAGTATTACTATATGTAAATCAATATTTTATGTTTACAATGTTATAGTGCAAATCAATTTTAAATTAACAAAACAATTTACAGACGAGCCGCAGCAACGGTTGATGCTAGACCCGCACAAGTAAATTTTTCAACAGTTGCCATAGTGCCAATATCAGATGATGTACCACTAACTGCTTTTACTTATGAATTATATCATTCTTTATGTGCCATTGGACCTTGTCTTCGTCTAACGTCGGATGTCGTAAGAAAGGTATTACATATATAGCAATCCCACTTAGATCTTATTAATATTATTTACAATCTTGTTAAAATACAATACCAATTATGTATTTAAGTATAGCATATAATTTAATTTTTTTAAATATATTGTATTATTTACAAATTTTTTATTTATATATTCGTTTTTAATAAAAAGTAATAACTAAATATTAAATTAATTTATTGGAAATAATTAATAACTTAATAATCATCAATTTCTTTTTCTTTTATGTATAGACTTTAGGAACAACCATCATGGAGCCTGCGAACGAATACCGATTAACTTCTTGGCTTGCACAGCAGGAAGATCAACACAGAATATCTTTATATCAATGTGATTCAAGTTACACGCTATGGACTCAGCGATGCGTGAGACAGGCTGATTGCATTCTTATCGTGGGTTTAGGCGATCGAGCGCCATCGATTGGTCGAACAGAACGTGAGATAGAACGGCTGGTAATGCGAACGCAGAAGGAACTAGTACTACTACATAAAGAACAGAACGGTCAACGACCCACGAACACTGTTCAATGGTTGAACATGAGATCATGGGTATCCAGTCACCATCACATCCAGTGTCCAAAACGGATGTTCACTAGAAGATCACAGTATAGAATTGTAAGTAATAGTAATCAACTAGAAGATTTAGTCTGAATCGCCCATGATCTGTTTTATTATGTTATTAGTAAAATAATTTATTACGCGAGTATTAATAAAAGAAAAAAAATGACTATTTTACTCTAAAATATATTACATTACAGAACGAATTATACTCCAAAGTGCTCATGTCTGAGCCGAACGTACACAGTGACTTCAGTAGATTAGCACGATGGCTGACCGGTACCTCGGTTGGTCTCGTTTTAGGTGGAGGTGGTGCAAGAGGCGCTGCTCACGTGGGCATGCTGAAAGCCATCATTGAAGCAGGTATCCCTATAGATATGGTTGGTGGTGTGAGCATCGGTGCCTTCATGGGCGCGTTGTGGTGTATGGAAAAGAACATTACTACTACCACACAAAAGGCTAGAGAATGGTCTAAGGTGAGACGGAATAGATTCCGCGATTCCCATTATCGTACTCTAAATTCTTTTATTATTATATTTCTAAAGCATAATATATAAATCTACCAAATTATAATTTGTTTTCTTTTCAAATGTCTGTGTACTAAAATATATAGATTTATTTCTTTTTTATGTTAATAACTGCTTTAAGAGCCTTATCAACAAATCGAAAAATATTTGTATATAAAAAATACTATATTTACCGGCAGAAAATGACTCAATGGTGGCGACAGATTATGGATTTGACTTATCCGATGACTTCGATGTTCTCCGGTAAAGATTTTAACAAGACGATACAGCAAACTTTCGGCGACACGTATATAGAGGACTTGTGGCTTCCGTATTTCACTATAACCACAGACATCACGGATTCCTGTATGCGCACGCATAGACACGGTCTGTACAAATATAGTGTTTTGAATTTTCTTATTCTAAAAATATTGACAAAGCTTCTAGTTTGATTTAATTTTCGTATATATGTTCATTGGCGTTTTATTCATTTACGTTTTTTAAATATAAAATTGTATAATAAATAAATTGTTATTTATTGGTGGCAAATTCATTTGATGTTTCGAAGATTCTGTAAGTGTGTGGATAATACAGTTAAATATAACTAGAAGCTTTAAGTCATTAAAAAATAATTGCAAAATATCTAGAGTGAATCAAAAAGTAAATACGGAAGAGATGTGTTGCATTGTATAGATAATATTTAAAATTATTTGCATCGACAATCGACTTTGAATGTCTGTATTAAAAAACATACGAGGTACCGTTCTTTCTTGATTCACACCAATAGTTTTGTCATGGCATGTAGATTTTTTTGTTTTAGATGCACATTAGCATGATAATAGAAGCTTTAACGTGCGGGAGTGAGCTTTCCGGATAATTACTGTTGACGTACTCTCCGTTTAATATCAATTTTAAAGAAAAACCCGAATGAGACATATATTTTTATTTTCATTCGAATATATAAAAATCATAAATTAATGTGCATATACTTCCTGTATGCTTTTACTACTAAAATTACGATATCGGAGAAATATTGCGATCAAAATTAAACTCCAGAAATCACTATTTAGAAATTCGTACACAAAGTAAATACAATATGCGATTAACTTTTTTTTTTAGGGTATGTTAAGTTAGCACCCCAACTATAGTACTCAGGAGTTCTGATTAGAGTTCCCACTTCCTTTTGACGAGACGAAGAGTTCCCTATAGTTAATAACAAGAGTTCCGCTCAATAAACATTTTTTTTAACATTTTTTTTAAATGGAGTCCTAACTTTTTATCGAATTTTGAGGTGGAATAGTTCTGAGCGGCTTAATAGCTTTAATTTGCGATTGCCTAGAGTTCCTGATATGTAAAAAAAATTTTCGAATATTAAAAAAAAAATTAAAAATTTTTGAAAATTTAATTTTTAGATACAATAGTTCTGATGATAATCAGAACTCCTGAGTACTATAGTTGGGGTGCTAACTTAACATACCCTTTTTTTTAATACAAAAAAGATCAAACATTCTATATGAATAGACTGAAGAACGGTTTGAGGACATCTAAAAATCTAAAGATTCACCGTGATATTATTAAAAATTTTTTTATATTATAAATATTGTTGCAGTTTTAGTCAATTTTGATTATTGATGTTTCTTGTTACATGGACATATAAATTCACATATGAAGAAGAAGTTTAATTAATCACAGTTAGTACTAAGGATACAGGAAGTACTTAAGAACACAGGAAGTATTTCGGTAAATGTATACCGGTAAATGCAGAATATTAAAGAGAATGATTCTTTAGGATCGCTGTGGCGGTACATTCGGGCCTCGATGTCATTGTCTGGTTATATGCCACCCATGTGTGACCCCGTTGATGGCCATCTCCTACTCGACGGCGGGTACGTCAATAACCTTCCAGGTAATCCAAATCGCACTGATGAACGATTGCAATCTTTGCATGATCAATGTAGAACTTAAAAAAAAAACACCATAACATTAATATTGATGTCAAGATAATATGAAATTTATTTAAGAAACACCACTACAAATTTACACTTTTTATCTTAATTTTATATAACAAATTTATCTATATGTTAATTATTTTACAAATGTATATAAATTATATAATTTAGCAATTTATCTCATGAAAATTATATTGATCGTATATTTTTTTTACGACAAAATACTAGCTTTTCTTTGAAATTTAATCAATTGGTTATCTAATTTTATATGAATTCTGTATCATTTCATATTTACCTTGGCACGATATTGAAAATTTATTTATGAGTTTCAAATTCGTTAAAATATAGTAAAAATATAAAATCATGAGAAACGTTAAGCTCACTCCCGTTGATAAAAGATGCAATTCAAATTCTGAATAGTTAAGTCCGCTCAGGTTTACTATGGAGGTATATTCGCGGCAGTATGACTATCGCGGGGGTCTTTCCTCCAATTTGTGATCCCCTTGATGGGCATCTTTTGGTCGACGGGTGTTATGTTAATAACGTGCCAGGTACTCGTCTTCTTTATCATTTACATTTAATTCTGATTGTAAGCTCTCAACTTGGTCCTTGATACTTTTAATCATGTACAATCAGTACCGTATCCTTTATTCAAAAAATATGATTGCGTTCGGAAAAGTTACCAGAGTGCCTCCGTGTATAGTTTTGTCCTCAAGTTCATCCAATGTTAAACAAGAATAAGATAATACACAGGGCACTCAGGTAACCTGGTATTTCCGAACGCAGTTTATAGCATGATATAAATTTATAGGAAAAAATATAATTTGTATATATCTAAAAAGATACATATACAATTCCGCGTGAACAAACCTAACGCATTACGTATAAAATTTTATAATTTCATAAATTAGATTTTATAACAAAAAAAAGCAAATTAATGTTAACGTTCTCGATTCATACATTCTCCACATTTTCGTTTAAGCTGACGAAATGTTGCGGCAAGGAGCACATCATATTCTGGCCATCGACGTCGGGTCACAAGACGACACGGACTTGACGAATTATGGGGACTCGTTGTCCGGTTGGTGGTTATTGTGGAAACGATGGAATCCATTTGCCACACCCGTGAAGGTGCCAAATTTACCGGACATCCAGTCCAGATTGGCATACGTAAGTTGTGTTCGCCAGTTAGAGGAGGTAAAGAGTTCGGATTATTGCGAGTACATCAGACCACCGATTGATAAGTACAAAACCCTGCAATTTGCCAACTTTGACGAGATCAAGGATGTAGGATATCAACACGGTGAGAAATTTATTATTATTTATGTTAAATCCAAATCCACTGTAAAAAATTGTAAATCAACGTTAATCTTAGTTATAAAGAACATATTATAATCTAAATTTCATATTAATAAGAGATGAAACACATTTGTACACATTTAAATTTACTCATATAAGATTGAAATGAATCGTATTCTTCAGGAAAAACGTATTTCGAGGGTCAATCAAAAGCTGGAGTTCTCCCTCGATTCAATGCGGATCGAGAGAATGCGAGAGCTATGCGAGCGAAATATCAAGCGGCTAATCAACAGTCACCCTCTTCATACACTTTCACCGATCTCGCGCAGATGGTGTGTAAAGTTTCGCGTGGTAGCCGATACATCGATCTCGATATAGATTCCGATTCGGATGAACTAGAGGAATACGAGGCGGACTTGGAAGAAGATGCGCAGGAAGTAGGATACGCGTCTGAACCCACTGCCGGTATTTTAGATCAGGTAAGTAATATTTTTTATTATTCATGTTATATATTAATCTGTATTTGTTATACAAATAGTGTTGCATATACAAAAATATTAACAATCAATCAAGAAGACATACCTCATTTTTTCAGTTAGAAAAGATTATATAATGTTATCAATTTCAATTTCTATATATATAAAATCATTTTATGTATCAATATAAATTCTATAAAAGATCCCTGAAATTCTGATTGAGAGCATGAATATTGTAAATATAATATGAAATAAAAGATTAAAATATTTATCTTCTATATTATGTATTACAAAATTTATCTTCTATATTATGTATTACAAAATAGTATATATTTTTATTAAATTTCTTCATATAATACAATTATGATTTTAATTTATTTTAGAGTCCTGAGGATAATCGACTGAGACGAAGAACTGGCGTTTCACTTAGTCTATCCGACACCGAGGCAGAGTCGGAATTAGATTACCATCCAAAGATTTTTTGAATACTTGTTTACAATTATCTACGATATGGTATTTGCATAATTCGCTCAACGAGATAAATTCAACAGAATTTTCTCAAACATATATAACTGTATTACTCAGATGCACTATTGATCTACGTCGAAGTACAAAAACAATTATTGCAATTGTATAACCACGGGAACGTTCTGAAATTATGTCACAATGCGATATGTATCGCTACATAATAATAAGTAATTAATATAATTATTGTTACTATTAAATATTACATTAAATACATTTTTTTTCAAAAAAAAAAAAAAAAAAAGTTATTTGTTATTTCAACATTATATCATACATATTCTTACATGTATGTATTAGTACTTCATGCCAGATCTTGTATTTCTCATAAGAATTGCTTCGTCATGATTGTAGGCATCTTAATGGGTCAAATTTTAATATTACTTTACATTACATTAAAAATCACTAGTCATTGTCAAATCTGGATCTAAAATAGCTAATACCGCGCCATTTAAATGTAAGGATCCCGTTACAAGTACCTCTATTTTATCGTGATTATCCTGCGACAATACATAGTCCTTAATGTCATAAAGCACTTCAGCAACTGTATTCTTCGACATAGAGTTATTGCCCCACAACTCGCAATGTTTTTTACATTTCTTTCTCTGCTCATCGAGTAGCATATGATTTGATAAATCCTCCACGCTAATCACTCCAGCGTAATTTGGAGCGAAATAAACTCTATCAAAATTCAAAGGTTTCAGCAGTTTTAATAATTCTAGAGAATTTCGATCACCGCTGATATTAAATATTAGGAACTTACTGGAGGCTTCCCGACTGACTCTCTTAAACCATGATACACAGTTAACGATACTCTCGATCGTGTGAGCACCATCCAGAAAGAAATTTGCCACACTAGTCCTCAGGATCTGCATGCGAGCTGGCCATTTGCAGTTCACCAATGCAGTCGCGACTTTATTTGGAGAAATAATTTGTGATGAATCATTCTTTTCACTTTGGAGATCATGAAAATCGTTGATGTATATAATAGACTGATCGTAATGCGATTTCATCCACTCGTGCGCTATGCTGATCGACAGCAAAGCATTCTGTTGCTGCACGCTATAAATATCAATGCCTGACAACGAGAAAATATCGTTCCATTTACAATCTTTGGTCGTAGAAGCTATTCGCAAATCATGACATCTTCTTTCTACGGCTCGTTTCCGTAGAACGTGCATCACCGATTCTGGTTGCGGCACCGTGAAAACTCTTGTATGTGGTTTGAAGATTCCCGACTTTTGATAAGCGATCTCTTCTAGGGTGTTGCCTAGCAATGAGGTATGTTCTAGAGCGAGGCTGGTTATACCAACGCAAACTGGATTCCGTAGGATGTTGGTGCAATCTAGTTCGCCACCAATTCCAACTTCAATGATCGCTACATCAACACTTGCCTCCAAAAACACATGAAACATGAGAATCGTCAGGAACTTGAAGTATGTTGGCATGTCAGATTCATGTTCTCGTTGTTGCTCTAGACGTCGATACACATTCCAAAAGAAATGAGTGAAATGTGTTTGACTGATAGGTTCACCATTTAATCGAATACGTTCCCGTACAGAGACCAAGTGCGGCGAGCTAAAGAAACCTGTGCTGAAGCCATGCTGTCGCAGAATCGCCTCCGTAAACGCACATGTCGAACCTTTACCCTTAGTACCAGCCACATGAATGACAGACAAACTATCCAGTTGCTCTAAAGTAATACCAGATCTGTAATATAATAAATTTGAAATTATATCAAACTTTAATTCAAATTTTACATTTAATGTATTTTTTAAGTAATTCTTTATGGGAAAGAACAGAGACATCAGAGAATTTAACTTTATTATCAAATATTCATTAAAGTATAAATAAAATAATCTACTTAAATTTTAATTGTGATTATTACTGTTAAAAAGTACTGATGTACTTTATTACCTGAGTAAATATTTTTCTACTTCTTTCAATTTAGTAGAATTATTTGCATTCTTAACAGATTGCAAATAAGCAGTGTTACTTTGTAAAGTAAGGCTTAACGTTTTTATGGCTTCCTAAAAAACAACGCATATATATATATTCTATTTAAAAAGACTTTTCATTTATATGTGTTATACGTATTAACTTGATCTTTCTTTGAAGAGAAATGCAACATTAAATAATCACAATACTTTTCTATAACTATACAAAGCACAAATAAACTGAAGTTATATTAATGTTTAAAAAATAATGTAAAATAAATTGTAAATAAAAAATAAAAATAACCAAATTAAATCAACTTTTGGAAGGTAATTGTAAAAAAATAAAATAACTTAACTACAATAAATATATTAAGTAATATAACTAGACGTAGAATATTTTCTAGATCAAACTTCCAGATTTTATATACGAGTATAAGACGTCTCAAGATCAGTACTAAAATAAATTAAATCTCTTTAATCGTAACAAAAATTTTCAATTTTGCAATAAATATAGTAAATTAAAGGTTAATAAAAAAATATGAGACAAGAAAAAAGGCGATTGTCAAATGTATCTACCTCGTAGGACCCATTAAAATGAGCGAAACGGCCCTGGAATGCATTGTGCGTCATTCTCCTCAGCGAAGTAAACATTGAGATTCACTTGTGAAATCGTACAAGAAATGATAAGCGAGTATTTTTATCACTTTACGTATCAAAGTTCGAGTCACACACAATCACTAAAAATAATGAAAGGCGTATCGTTGGGAAGAGTGTTAAAAGACAAATATTTCTGTGTCGAATGGGACGTTCAAAATTTGTTTCAAGATACGCAAAAATTAAGCGTCTATCGATGGAAAATGTCAGAATTCAGTGAAAGAATTCTCTAAGTAATTCCGCACGGGAATTTCTCGCAGGTAATTCCGTAAAAGGCTCCCATTATTGTGTAAAAGTTTGTGGATAACCTTGCGTTACTCGTTCTGTTGCTTCAAGTTCAACTCGTGCTTTGATTCGAACATCGCATCGCAAGGTAAAAGTAGAATTTTGGATTGGGCACTGAAACGCGATTCAAAACAATACAATCTTTTTCAGATAAATCATCAATTTCAATCATTCGATCAGGTTCAACGCAAATTGACGCAAATGCATAATATGCGATTATGCGCAATAACATGCATTTTCCCGCCACAAGAGGTGACATAAGGTAAAGCTAGGCGTCACACGATGTTTGTTTTCCTGCTGGATTGCTAGCTGGATCGGATTCTTGCCATCGGATTGGCTGCGATTGATTGACCCTATCAGCAATACGATGGGAAGATTCTAATCCAGCTAGCAATCCAACAGGAAAATAAGCATCGTGTGCCGTTGGCTTAACATAACACATGATGGGTTACATTCGTAAAGTCAAAAACCTAAATTCTCAGAGAACTAAATATATAACCAATCAACTTGCCGTTTTTTTTTTTTTCTAAAAACTACATGTTGGCTACATATTCCCGAATTCAAGGACTCGGATCGAGTTCTAATGCCTGTTTAAATGCCTGTCTAAAATACAATTGTAAATCGTAAGAAATTGATCAATCATAGTTGAATATGAAAAGAATAATTGATTATGATTGGTTAATTTCTTACGACTTTTTTTTTTAAAGCTTAAAATTTTATTATAAAACAGCATAAGGCTGAGTCCACAATCTCGTTTTAAGCCATCAAAAAAGCCGTAAGAATTTGACCAATCACAGTCAATTATTTTTTTCGTATTCAACTACAATTGGTCAATTTCTTACAGCTTTACGGCAGATTACGGCTAGTATAATCCAACCCTAAGTTTCAGAATCTAGTCTACTTATCGAGCGATCGCTTCTTATTTATAGATCCATGTAGCTGCATTGTAGCCCCTTATAGTCACCCATACTGATTCGTTTGCTCTGCCAATGAATCGAATTGTTAAGCGGGGAGCACAGACTTTTGCATAACGCATAATATACAGTGCATAAGAGAAACAACCAATCTGAATTCCTCCTTTCCTTCTACTTCTCGGAAAATAAGAACTTTGATTGGCTGATTCCCTTATGCACTATGCGTTATGGAAAAGCTTGTGTTTGGGCTCTTAAAGCCTTGTGTCCACGATGCTAGAAATCGGTCCAAGATCTCGGATGTAGAAAGAATTAACAAATCGCATTTGAACAATTTGGTCACATGACCAATGTAATTGGTCAATTTTTTCCTTCATCCGAGATCTCGGACCGATTTCCAGTATCGTGGACACAAGGCTTAACATCCCCTCACGCACGCAAATCTTTTCACTGTGCAAAACCTGCTATTTATCCCAGAAAAAGGACCTACCTAACACTACCTCACTCGAGCTTCAGACTGACTCAGGTCAACATACGGTCAACAGTCATCAAAGTATTTCAAACTGTTAATACTAAATATGCCTACTGTGCTTATAATATGTGATCACGGTTTTTTTTCTTCGGTGAGTTTGAATTAACGTATTTCTCTCCATTTCTGTCAATGTACATCATCTTTAATCTTCATTTTATTTATCTACTCTTTATCTATTTTTAGTTCTTTGAATTCCGTTTATTTCTGCTAATATATATAAATTAATTTTAATTTCAATTTAACTTACTTTTTAGTTTTTTCCTAATTCTAAAATTTTGAGAAGATGAATATAATTGGAGTAGCTCAACTCCAAGATTAAAGTTAATTTATATAAAAATTGGTATATTGTGTGTGTTTTTAAATATTTTTTATATTACTTATTTTTATATATCTATATGTATATATTGCGATCTGTATGAATCTTAAATCTCGAATTTTCGAAGCTCGAAAAAATAGAGCACACAGAGCATACATAAATAAGATATAAATATTCCAACGGACATGTACTTTTTATGTCCGGAGATTTACACAAAACTTTGTATTTTCTTTATATTATTAGTTTCAAATGATTCTTTAAATATATCTAATATTTGAGTATAATTTTAATAAATAAATAATAACGGGCAATTGAGAATTAGCACGTGAACAGTGCGTAGTTAACCTTAAAAAATTTTATCTCAAAATGAAAGATACTAATTCGTACATGTTTCAAATAATCTTTCAGCCTTCTTAGTAAATAGGAATTCAAAAATCTATTGGTTGTAATTAAAAAATAAAATAAATATTACAGGCAATGTGTCCATTCATTCATAATCATTTAAATATAATATTTAATTGTAATCTTTAAATACAATTAAATTATAATGTAATACGTAAAAAAAAAAAAAACATTCGAGATGGAAAATAATAAATTTTGTGTGTGTTTTGTAAGTTTTGTATTTTTGTTACATTTTGTTTGTATTAAAGAGCATATCTTACATCCTAGCTTAGACTCGTTGCCTGTTTTATTTCTATTGTGTATGTATTTGAACATAAGTATATATCTGAACAGGTAGTCACTGCGGGACGCTTCTATTGAAATGGATTCCGGTTTCACAAGCTGCTCAAACGGCCATTTCAAAAAGAATTACGTGATCCAAATTGACGCTTGATATTCATTAATTTTGATCATGTGATCTTTAATTTTTGTCGCTGAAACGGTCGGTTTTGAGCAGCTCTTGAAAATCTACTTTCACGCATGATACGCATCCCAAGATATACCACACACACGTAAAAAAATGATTTGCTATGAACGCAAAGGGATTGCAAATTTATTTATCAAATTTGTTTGCTGTTCGTAGCCAACCAATTTGCATATTTGACAAAAATTTCGCATTTGTCGCAAATAATTTTTGTAGCGAGTACAAAAAGGAATAAATATTTATTACGCCTGCAAATAATTTGCGATCTCTATATTTTACAAATAAAATTATGTGACATAGGATTAGCGTTCGTAGGAAATTTTTTCTCTCCGTGCAAAAAAAGGCGTGAAAGTCATGCGATGTAATATTTGATCCTTCTCTAATCTTCGATAAACAATAACGACTAAAACGTTACTTGAACGTGAAACTATGTACGATGTTACTATATATAATTAATTATAACAAACGTTAAGTTAACATTAAATATAAAGAAAATTATAATTCATGTTAAATTAACGTTACATTATAATGTATTCATGTATTGCATTAAAATACAGTTATAGCTAAATAAGGGCAAAGCATCAATAAGATTTATTGCTCGCTTAAAATTCAGACGGCATTTTAGTACCAATTTTAAGCTTTGATTAGTTTATAAAAAAAAAAGAGAAGTTCTTGAATTTCCCGACATTCTCAATCTTATGAAGCAACTACATTCCTTTTCTTATCAATCAACATATTTAAAAATGTATCGTATGACAAAATATTAATCGAAATCCACAATTGAACAATTCATATTTGGCATTAATCAAGCCACTTTTAGTATACATTGTGCAATACTTTTGTTTAAAGCATTCTCTCCGTAAATATTTCAAATTTTATTGGTTCAACAGTATTTTTGCTTTTTCGAAAGTAAAAAGACATAAGATATGCTGCAAATAGTTTTATCATTAGTTATTTTTAAAATTACATGAAATTAGAAGTACTCAACAAAAATTCGAGCAAACGTTGCATGTACGTTAAAGTATCTTTTTTTTTATGTAGAATATATAAGATATTATAATTTGATATAAAACATAATACATATTTTTGCGAGCTGCAACATCTTTTTTTTAATTTTCATGCGTTTTTTAAACAATTAATATTGTATTATGATATGTTATAGGTATAATATAGATATACATTGACACATAGTAAAAAGGAAATGTTCTCAAGCATCACTTTTATTTTGATATTGCATACAATTTTGCATATTTCATTATTGTAATTGATTTGTAATTTTATTATGTATATACACGGATCATTCATTATTCGTACTGAAATGGACGAGCGACTTTGTGGCGCGATAAACAAGCATCGACCTATTCACACAAGTATTAAATATATGTGTGTGAATAGAAAAAGGCCGATGTTTATTTGTCGCACCACAAAGTCGATCATCTATCTCTAAACCGTTATCGTAAATATTCAACAAATGACTTTTAGGATCTGTGAACACAAAGATAGCTGTAACATTAGTCATAGAACATGAATCGGCAATGTTTTGTTGCAACCGTATCAGCATGTATTGTATAATGTATACATGTAGCTGGACAAGTTACAATACGTATTTGAATTACAAAATATAAATTACTTTCAATCTTTCAACTTTAAATACAAAATACTTTCAAATATTTATTTGAAATATAAAATACTTTCTAATTTGATTTTTTAATCAGAGCTGGACGAAATACATTAATAAAATATTTGAAATATAAGAATTTTAATATTTGAATTGCAAAATACGAAATGCTTTCAATTTTTCAATTTAAAATACAAAATTTTCTTAATTTGATTTTTTAATTACGAATAGACCCTCTCCACTTTTCGAACTTTTAAGAGACTGACAGGCAGATAGATAGAGGGAGGAGGAAGAAGAGAGAGAGAGAGAGAGAGAGAGTAGAGAGAGAGAGAGAGAGAGAGAGAGAGAGAGAGAGAGAGAGAGAGAGAGAAGTCGTCTCATTGCACTCTTTAAAAGTCTTATTGTTCTGTACTATCAAAATCGCATAAGAACTACACAAGAAATTAATTTTTCTTGTACAAGATTATAATATTTGATAATACTAATGACTTGATGCTGTTTGAAACTTGATTTGAAAATGTCGTGAATTGCTATATAAGAAAAATTTAAGTTACTACTATTGTTGTCGAGAATTTTTATTAAGAAATATTTCGATATTTGAAATACAAAATACTTTGCTGTGCTCCGTTGAAATGAAATATGAAATACAATTTTTTTTCGTATTTCCAAGATAAGCATCGAAATATGTACAGGGTCCCTATTATTAAAAAGAAACGTATATGAAAAACCAGAGCTAAGCTCTGTATTTGAATGTATTTGAAATACTTTTATTTAAAATATAGTATTTGCAATAAGAGTATTTGCATTTTGTAGTTTGTATTTCAGCAGAGCTGAAATTTCAAATATTAAGCTTTTATTGATATGTACTTACGACTCAAAATAAATTTGTTGTTAATAAAATTTTAATAACACATTTATTTAAAAGCGTGTATATCATTAAAAGCTCAATATTTGAAATCTTTTATTACTTTGTCCAACAATTGGCTCATGTCCACTAACTGGTACATTTATCTTATTATACCACACAGTTGGCAAATAAGTCGTTAGTTACAATGTTGTTACCGTTACAAGTTATCTTTTTTAGTAACGAATAGGTAACGACTTTACATTTTTTTCTGAGTAATGTTTATCGTAACGCAACTATTTTTATCGTTACTTTATTTCTAGCCACGTAAAAATTCTAGTCTAGGTATAACTATAACTAGAGTGTTATGTATATTCATATTCTATACATACACGCACACACACTCATACGCGCGCGCATTTATCAGTTTTTGAACTTGAGTTCTCTTTTAAAAAATATAAATTCTGACATTTTTTTTATATTTACTGCCAAAACATGCATATTCTATTATAGTGTCAAGAAAAAAATTAACTACTATATTTTTACTAGGTAACATTGCTAACCGTGCTTTATTATATATATATAATATTTTTTATCACAGAACATAATTTTTATTGTATAATTTTTTATTCAATTAATTTCTTGTTTATAAATTTCACGCTTGTATTGGTAATAAATATATTTGTACATATACGCACATTATTTTGTTACATCTGTCTTTTTACATTGCAGATTTATAATAGAAACAGAAAATATACTTACAGTTTTTAAACACCAGAGTCTTTAAACAGGTTTGTTATACTTTTTTGTGTATACATAAATGCTCTTTGAAAATAAATTAATCATTATTAATAATAATTTCAATTTTAGAAACTGACATTTATCAAGATGTCTTGTGATATCGATCTTCAACGACAAGAGGATGAACTAACTGTAATTTCTAGTATTTACGACGAAACAGAATTTTTTCACGTGAAAGTCAGCAAGGGTACAAAATGCTCAGTCACCATACATCCAAAAATCCTTAAAAAACTAGAAGTAAAGTTTAGTAGCGGTTGTTCTTCCGATGTGGTTCCCATCAATAGTACCTTTATAGAATATCTACCGCCAATCAGGATGTACATTTATCTCCCTAGTACATATCCGTCTAAAACGCCACCAGAATTTCGTCTTTCTATTGTTTGGTTATCACTTTGGGAGATATCTTTTATTTGTCAGAAATTGGATGAAATATGGGAAGAGAACCAGAGCAACGAGATCATCTTCCAGTGGCTAAATTTTCTACAAAACGATCTTTTCAGTTTTCTAAATATATCGGAATCCTTAGACGTTTCTTTTTTACATTTAATTCACACATCACAAGATAATGTCACACTACGTCTAGCCACGTTATCGGATTTCAGAGCTCAGAATGGTGCATTGTTATTAGATATCAAAAGATTATTAATATCTTATGATAAAAGGCAACGTAAAACACAATTTGTCAAGAACTTTTATACTTGCTATATATGCTTCGAGGAATATGCAGGACTAAATTGTATAGAATTGGAAAACTGTGGGCATGTCTACTGCAAAAGTTGCATGGAGAAACACATACGTATTAGGATCATCGAAAGTATTAATGAGATATTGTGTCCAACGATAGACTGTAAGCGCCAAATAAGCGAGAATGACGTTAAAGCTCTCTGTCCGGACTTGTTTTTCCAATACGAAGAAATCATGTTGCGAGTAACGTTAGACACCATGGACGATGTAGTGTACTGTCCAAAAATTTCTTGTCAATATCCAGTTATCAGAAACCCGGATGATATCGCACCGATCTGTCCTGTTTGTAAATACTGTTTTTGCATCTATTGCCGTAAGGTAAGACACGTCTCAACATTTAAGCAGATGCATATGCAACTATGGCTTAGTTTACAGCGATTTGATACTGGTATTAATTAGTAAATTTCTATTAAATTATTTTAATTTCGACTATGCCTATAAAAAAAACATATGTATATTTAATCATCTTGATGTATATTATACCATCTTAAAGCATCGCTGAAATTAAAATGATTTAATAGAAAGTTACTAGTTGATACGAATATTAAACGATCAATGTAAATTACAGCTATATGTATATCGACATATTCTATACTAATTGTTATTCAAACAGATGTACCATGGACAAGCACCCTGTGAAATGACATCAACCGATACTATAAAGCTCATTGATGAGTACAAGAATAGCAGCAATAATAAGAAAATGATGTTAGAGAAGAAATATGGCAAGCGTCAAATACAATCAATTGAAAGATATCTTACGACTGAATATCTACAAGTATGTATGACAAAATATTATATAAAAAAATTCAATTATATGGAAATGAATTAATAGATTGTGTAATAAGACTACATTAGAGTATTACTCCTAATGATGATTATGCGCGTAACTTTGTTTAGGATAATGCGAAAAGTTGCCCGAAATGTCATTCTTTCATTAGCAAAACCGAGGGTTGCAATAAAATGACGTGTAGGCATTGCCAAACTTTATTTTGTTGGCTGTGCAACGAACAGATATATGGATATGAGCATTTCAACAACATCGACAGTCAGTGTCATGGACTTTTATTTGAAGGCATAGAAACAGATAACATAGATTACGTTATTGATGATGTAATGAATGATATAAATCCGTTCTTTGAAGATCTTCATATTTAAATGTATATTGTAACAGAATAACAAAAAGACTCTTAACATGATTAAGATTTTGACTAAAATTATCATTGATTTTTATTATTTATATTTTTTTAAATATGACGAAAAAGGAATTATGTTATTATCACCTATCAGTCATATAATTATTGATAGATGTCATTTTATATTAGCACTTATGTCTGTATACATTATCTAAAAATTTTTTATAAGAAAATATTAATTTTTTAATTGCTATATATAACATACATTTGTATATTTGTAATATGTGTGTATAACATTATATAACAAAATGTGTTCTTATTTGGTATATAGAAATCTAACAATGATTTTAATTTAGTTTGTACGTATGTAAATAGATATTATATTAAATTTGTTTATATCATGTATTTTGTCACTTTGTGATATAAAATAAAACATTTGTATAAAAATATAGTATGCATACATATAAATACATAATATATGACAATAATAACAAGAGCCTAACTAGTATTACTTTCCTAGATAATATCGACCAATGCAATGTTCTATGTCAACACTCACATACTTCTCTGTACATGAACTTCGATATTTGCTTCTGTGACTAATTGTTCTGCAACAATAGAGACTGCAGATTCGCGTCTCTGTAGATTCGCGACAATATCTAGGAGCGATTATAAAAAATGAGGTAAGAGGAATCACTTTCTTACAGTCTTACGTTAACATGAAGTTGCATTACCTTCGCAATTCTTTTCACATTCCATTATTGCTTGTTTACGATGAAAATATTGCAAGTTTAATTGTACGAGTGTAGGACCGAATATGCAGTATCCAATGCACGCTCCAATTACGAGGGCGATAGTGATGTATGCGTTGTACGTCATAACAGCCAACATCAAGATATAACCGAGCGTAGTGTGAAGAGACCAATGCAACATTTGCAATGTCCATCTTAAGCAGCTTCCACTAAGAAGACATATTTAGCACAATTTAAAATAAAAAAGCTTAGTTATTACTAACTGTGAGAAAAACCAATATATTATTTAGGTCTTAGGACAATAACTATAATAAAGTTGTTAGTAGTCATATCAATATATATATATATATATAGGTATATATATTGATTTTATAATTAGAAATGTTATTATATCACAGATATGCTATCTTTTTTGCTTGTACAAGATAGAATGTGTTTTACAGCAGCAATAAAGTATTGTTTGCTATGTTATATTATATTTTTAAAATAAAAGATATAATTAGAGTAGATGTATTAATCATTAATGTATTAAAGAAAAGCATAAATAAATGGACGGTCCCGAAATAGCCAAAACTTCGCGAGTATGTACGGAAAATTGATAAATTAAGAGAAAAAATCTTTTAGATATGTGCTTGTGTTTTTGTTTCGTTTTGGAAAAGATCATAAGACGAAATATAATTTTCAAAATATTATTTTATCTTCAAAGCGGAGTGTTATTTCGTTAATCTCAACGATAACAATTTGATAATGCTTCAGATACAATGCGAAAGTATGCGCGCCGATTTTCGGACAAAAGATTGTCGAATTGGCAAGTCATTGCATTGATCAAATCAGTGTTTGGCATTCAGCTGCAACATGTCTGTATATGCAAGATGCAATGCATGCATTGCTGCAAGAAACCAACATTTTGAACAACATCTCTATTAAGCAAGTGACGACATAAATAAATAGATGTAAATGAATCAGTAATAAATAAATACAAAAATGAAAAACTTTATTTATTTTTTATAAGATACCCTATATAGCAGATATATAGAAAAAAACATAAAATACAACTATTCAATGTAATTTCAATCAAACTATGATTAATCGACAGTCATTCAAATTAAAGCAAAATCTGTAATTATAAATTTGTTGTTCCTTTTTTCTTATCACATGCAAAAGCTAAACAATAAAAAATTTATTATTTTTTCATATTAACAAAATAGTACAGACATCATTTGGTATGTGTTAAATATCAATTAAGTTAATTAATTAGTTAAAGTTAATTTATCTTATTACTTCGAGCAGATAAGAGAATGACAATGTACCATTTTGTGTATGTTCTAAAATTCTTTGGCGTCACTCTGGATAGGAGGGACGAGTTCTCCGAAGAGGCTGAAGTCGTCCGAGATATGGGTCTAATCACGGTCTGTTGCAAGTGGATCTGGGAGACCTTCATGGCTTCGTACAACACTGCGAGAGCAGCTAAGCCAAAGCATGTTGCCACCAGACCCCATATTGTATCAACATTGTATCCCGGAAACAAAAAGCTACCCAAATCTGTGCCAAACCAGTACCACATATGCATCTGCAACGTTGTATAAGTAGAGATACAAGTGATTTTATAGAGAGCATGCAGCGCATAAAAGAAACGTCAAGAATTAAAGCTGTACGGACCTTGATTACCTCAATTCCTTTTCATACACCCTCGATTGGTAACAAACACTCATGACAACTGATAAGCCACGCGTATGTCGCGTATACAAACGTCTATTCTCTACCACTCTATCGATCACCTAGCCTAACCCAAGGCTTTCTTAGCTTGTTTACAAATTGTGTCCGCTTACTCCGCGCTCAGGCGGTCACATTTCAACCATATAAACCGCGTACAAATTCTTACTGTGATTGCTAGTCCAACTTAAGGCAGATTGTTCCATCTTTTGGTAAAGTTTACCTGTTAAGTAAGTAGCAAGATTGCCCAATCAGGTGCGCGGATTGCCAGATTTACCTAACAGGTAAACTTTACCGAAAGATGGAACAATCGGCTCTGAATCTTTCATTCACAGATACTGAAAGAGTTATAATTATTTCGTCCGTCCTTTTTCAATTTGCGCCAAAAAGTGCAAGATTGAAAGACAACATGCTTTTAGCAGAGCATCGAGCGAATCTGATTGGTGCCCATCTACGAGTTCAACGAATCCCAGATCTCGGAGCGACAACGCAATCTGGTTTTTCTTCACGTGGGATTCATTCGTGTAAGGACCGATGTGGCCGTTGGCGAAGCCGGTTCTTTGCACGGTACAGTTAAACAGCGAACAGTTGAATAGCGATCAAATGTGACTGACAATGGATTGATCGAATTATTGAGTAACGATTGAACAGGTGGTTGTTAATTCAAATTGAAAAACATCAACAAAGTTTTACCTTCACTTGAAGAACTCTATCCCTGCAAAGCAATAGAACTGAGATTGATAAGAACGCATATAAATTTTTTGCTTTTTATTGGACTTCAATCGCTGTTAGATAAAAATGGAACTATTGTATCTCACACTTCTCGCTTGCGTTTCGTTCATCACAAATACAGATGCAAGTACATTAGGTATTTACTCCTGAAACTTTTTTGTCCTACCTGAAAGATTAGATGTGTTCTTTGTTACACTCTACACTGGACTATATTCTAAAATTTAAAATATATTTATTTACATTTTAAGTACAAGTCCTATACGACATTTTTTCTTGTAAGGATGTTTTAAGATATCCTCTGGATAATTTTAGGATTCTTGAATAATAGTGTTATGTGGTGTGTATATTACAAAAAACAGATCTTTTTCCTTTTATCTGATATTATAAAGGTCACATATTATTCAAGATTAGTAAAGATTATATTATATAAAGATAATAATATTTGTTCTTTCTTTTTTGTATAAGCTAAATATGTGAAAATATTAACCAGAATATTTTTAGAGCCTGACAAGGTAACAATAGTAATACTGAGTCAAAAGGAAGGCTACAATGCGGCCTATGCTGATTACTTGAAGGAAAACATCTATGAACAAGCTGATGCCCTTGAAAAAGTACGTTTTGATCACAAAAAAATTGTTTCTTTATGTATAATTTTTATTAAATTTTTACTAGTGTCTGTGATAACTATATTTATTTTGTATTTATTGTTAAATAAATTATCTTTATACATTTACAGGAATTGCCTCACGTTGTATTGTCCCATAAGCTTAATATTAAAGGTTCCTGGACAATAGTTCCACTATTGAGTTATTTGAGAGGTAAATTTCCAGATGTGGAATGGTTCTTCTTTTGTTTAGAAAATACTGTGATTCGATTAGAGAAGCTATTGGATATTCTTGGAAAATTTAGTTCTTCTCAGGTGAATTGTGCATAAGCTTTCAAGAATATATTTATATTCTATTATCAATAGATAGTTTATTTATGTACAGGATGTGTGGATGGGATTTGCGCTTTATGACCGTGAACCTACTATTATTCATCACTTTGCACAGCACACTAAAAAATTTAAGTATCCACACATTGCGTCTGGATTTGCTATGAGTGCTACGTTATTAAATAGGTATATTTTGTTTTTATATTACAATTATTATATATGTGATTTAAAGAGATTTGTTCCATTTTTATGTTAAACAGTTATTATAATAATCATAACATAAATAAGAGTAATTAACTGAATTCTGAGTAATAATTAATTGAATAAATATATACAATCATAAAATAGGCTGTAGATCAAATTAACTTAATAAGAGCTACTCTCTTCTAAATATATTTTCTTTGTTTCACAAAACTAGTTTCATTGATAAATATAATTTTATATAAATATGATTGCAAGCTGCTTCTATAATTTCATTTTATATGTATTTCTACCATTTATCAAAAAGTTAAGAATATAATTTTAATATTTTAGTTTATCTAAACAAGTATATGCGGGCAAGGAACTGAAGGCAGATTTTTCTATCGACGTATCATATGAATTTGCAACATTTGTCTTAAATAGTACTAATGTGAAGTTGACTCATGTGTCTAAACTATGCGTTGTATCTGCTACCGATTGTGCCACGTATCCCCGATTCTTCCATTCTTGTGTATGTTACACGATCTGAGTTCTTAATTAATAAGAATAATTTTAGTAAATTAGTTAAAATTATTCTTATTATTAAAACTAAAATGGAACTATTTTTATTATTAAGCTAAAATAAAACAATATACTCTATTGTTGAATCCTGTTGGTACAAATGTTCCCAATTTTGCAGAGTTCTTCTGTAACTCCAGAAAATATTTATTTTGCTGTTAAGACTTGCGCCAAATTTCATTTAAACCGAATCCCAGTAATTAAAGAGTCGTGGGCCAAATACGATTTGAACATTGGATATTTTAGTGATGCAGCTGGTATGCCTGATGAATGTACCCATATTTTTTTATATATTTATAGTCTTTATAAGTTGTTGAATTGTTTTGCTACAGACAAAAATTTACGGGAAGCATACATCGTTCCAAACACTACTGAAGGACATTGCGCTAAAACTTATGCTATCTTGCAAAAAGCCAGCAAAATACTAAAACGACGCAATTTCAATTGGCTTGCCATTGTCGATGATGACACTATATTCAGGTGAGATAACTACATATACTTAAAAAAAATTTTTGTTAATTGTCAAAATTATACAAAGTGTCATAAAGTTTATATAATTTTTATTTAAAAAAAATATTTTTTAAAATTAAAGTTGCTTAAATTAAGATTATCCAAAAAATTAACTCAAGAGCTAAACGCTTTCTATTCTATATCGTCTCATTAAGCAAAACAAGAAGAAAATATAAAGACTTAGAACTTTGTCCAGTGACTGGCTACTTTAGCGTCAATTTTTTTTTTTTTTTTTTCTATTTGCATTATTAATGAGACGATGGAGAAGGGGAAGCGTTGAACTCACGAGCTAAGTTTTAAACAGACTTTAATGTATTATATAGTGTGGTACGTTTATTGAACTTACTCACGTGCTACAATCCTAAGCACTCAGTCGCAATCGGTGAACGTTACGGCTTTCGTATGTGGGATAGACATCACGGCTATCAATACTTAACTGGCGGTGCAGGGGTTGTGTTATCGGCTCCTTTAGTTCATCTGATGGTGGAACCAGGCGTATGTACTTGCCCATCTGCGACTACTCCCGATGATATGCATCTATTTGGACTTTGTTTGTTGCGACTTAAAGTAGAAGGCGTACATTCTCCAATGTTTCATCAGGTTTGTGCAATAATAAATATAAACTTGAATAAAGGCTCTAGTTTAAAGAAAATATATAATGCCAGTCGACATTAGTTAATATGTATAACTTATATAATTAGTATCGGCTCTCATTGTCATTATGTATCATTTATTTTTTGTGCAATAATTTTTTGTCGTCATTTAACATTAAACACTAATATGGTTTAAATCTATTCAGAATACACATTAGATTTTACTTGATCATTTTATTACCTTTCAAAAAAAATGGCAAACCACCAAGAGTATCTTTGAAAACACACACGCACGTATGAAATATATAATTTTTAAAAATGACACAACTATACGTTAATTTTAATATACTTAGTTACTTTTTAATAGTATAATGTCAAATCATTTTATATTTGATAACTGTTGTAGGCACAACCTATAGACTACCCTAATGCTCATTTGGCATCTCAAGAACCTATATCATTTCACAGATTCTGGTCAGTTGATCCTAAAGCTGTATACAGTGACTGGTTTGCAGAAGTAGATAAAGTCTTACCACTTCGTGTCACATCAAAACATACAGAATTATAAATGTATATTTAAAAAAGATTTTATACAATTTTTTCAATAAAAATTTTTATTTTTGTATTTATAATCAGATTTTCTTCAAAGTATTTATTTTTCACATTTAATGTTGCTCTTAAAATATTCTAAAAGTGTTTAATATTTATATATTTATCAAAAATATTTTATATTATACAATAATGTATTAATATAAATAATATTATGTACATTCGTAAAAATATGAATAAGACGTAAAAATTTATAACAATGTGTGTATATATATATATAAAAAGTATATTTAAATTATGTATTAACAATTTAACGTAAAATACTAATTATTACCTTAGAAATCTAACAACAGTCGAGGCACTAATTACAGCATATAACAAATTATTTCAATATTTAAATATTAATACAAGCACAGCTCTTAACGACATGAATATGTGCGTTTGTTTCCAGTTCTGGATTTTAAAAATATAAAAAGTATTAACTCTAAGATATCTCATACTCGTAGTATATTACAATTTAGATTGGATTTTATTCCACCACGATGGACGTTCAAAGTTCTCTTTGTCTTTAAATATCCACTCCTTTATGTGCTTATATACCTAGATAAAAAAGTTTTTAATTTACATATATTGAAAATGGATAATTATTATACATGTAGATAATTCAATATAAAATATTCATTAATAGCAGTATATACCTTGCCATCGGACATTCCTAAAGCAGAATTAAGAATAAAATCGGGCGGTGCCAATACGTCGACTAATGCAACAGCATCATTGACTAAGTCTCTGCAATACATTATAATTCCTTCCCGCAAAAGATTATCTATATTACTGTTAGGAGAGGCATAACCACCGCCGTACAAATCTCCCAATCTCTTCTCCAATGTTATAGCTCCGAATAAGGAACACAATTTTGTTAGTACTTCTCTTTCATTTGTTTTCCATTTTGGATCTTGTAAACATCTACTAAAGTACAGTATTACGGCATGCTGTAACGAAAGAAGAAAATAATTACATTTCTATATAAATTGGTGTAAATTATATTTATTGGATAAAGGATGTATGTATATTTTTTATTAATAATCTAGAATTTTTATACATCGTAGTTCGATATATACGAATTGTTTAAAATATGTATTGCTTTTTTTTATTCATTAAATTATAAATACAATTAAAATATTATATGATTATATACATGTATTTTACTTACCTCTGCATATACAAGAGATAAGGTTCGTGCCAGAAACGTTTGGATATTGTTTCTTACATCAAAATCAGACATTCCGTTTGATTGGAACTCCTTCATACGTTGATATGTCTTTTTCAAATAATAACAAACCAGCCATTTAAAAGTTAGGAGTAAATCTAAAATAAATAAGAAAGAAACATATAATTGCAGTAAATCTAAGTCATTTAAACGATTCAATTAATAACTTGTAGCAATATATTTTATATACATATATAATATAATATAAAAAAGGATTATTTTCATACTTTCAGGTTTCAGTACATCTTCTACTGTAGTTTGATTAAATTTGGTATTAAGTATTTGTTCGGCATTCATAAGAAAATCCGCGGAATTTAACGGAGACGGCACTGCCTGTCCTTTAATCACATTAGCCCATTGACTTAATAACCAATTACTTGCTTGCTGAATAAGTACGTTGTTTTCGCCCTCATACGTACAGTTTGCATCGTTCTCAGCTCTTATATCACCCAAACGAGACACTAATAATAAAATAGTATATATTTCATTATATAAGCGATTAACAATAAAAGATAACAATTTATTATAAAGATTTCGAGATTTATATGTAATACATAGATTTGAGAGTTTGCACTTACTCTTTAAGTATCCATGTCCACCGCAAGATTCTCTGCAATCCTGAATCACATCGCGAGAAATCCACGAACATAGTGGTTTCGCTGCACTAGATAACGCGTGTATTTCCATTCCTAGATCGGCAGTCGAGTCTTCATTCTCACTCGAACGGTTTATTTGAAATTCAGCCAAACTTTTTTTCAACATTGATGAAAATATTTTTATTGCGTACATTGCAGCTAAATGAGGAATGATTCGCCATTGCTGGAACATATTACACACATGTGACAATTTTTCTGTTTCAGCTCAAAAATAAAGACTGTTATTACTGCTACGTACTTGCGTTTGATATTCTATAACTGGCAATTCATTATCCTCGGTAGGACCAAACTGTTTCCTAACTGCACAATAACGTATAGCAATAGTTAGTGCAATGACCATATATTGGGTACATATTGTAGTAATCATGACACGGCCTCCAGATAATGCACCCAATGACGAGCCTGTGCCAGCACAAATAAAACGTCAATGGATTCAATTACAAGAGATGTGATTTTGTCATTAATGTCAATTCTCACCATATCTTTTTCGTTCATCCTTTAGAGTAAGAACATACTTTCCATCTTCGCTGACATCTGCGGTGCGATTTAACAGGCAACTACGCGGTATAGAATAATTATCAAACATTATGAATCCATTGTCTACTCCATTAAGGCCTATCTTTTCACCCATATCACCAACGGTAACACCAGGAAAAGGTAAATGAGTTTGCAGATCGCGAATTGGCACAATAAAAACGTGCAGACCTCGTTTTACTCCATCTGGTGTAATTAGCTGCGCAAATATAAGACCATGCGTTGCGCTTTTTCCTAAAAATTAAAATATATTAGAAAATATAGAAAGCATAGGTATTTAATGCATTAAGTATATTTTCAAGCAGACAATTTACATTTAGCTAAAATGTTTTAACTAAAAATGTTAAATAGACATTAATAACATTAAATATGTTTTTATGTATAAAAATATTTTAAATTAAAAAATAAACGTTTAGTATATACTATAAATATCTTATAATCGTTTCTATAATGTTATTAAATAGTCAAAAACATATCAAATTTTGAACGTTTTTATTTTTCAATTTGCACACAATTTCTAATGTTTATTAAACATATTTTGAATGTAACTGTGTTGCTTGAAATCGTTACTTGTCATTAATTCTCTGTCAACTAAACTTAACTTACCTAAATTACCTGCCCAACATTTTGCAGCTTCAAAATCAGGAGTATGAAGGATAAAACTTTTTGTTGCTACATCATACGTTGCTGTGGTTCGCATTCCTTTTGCGTTAGTTCCATGAGCAATCTCAGTCAACACAAAGCAGCCAATATACTGTAAGCAATAAGAATATTAATAAGCATTTTATATTTTATAATAATGAGAGTCACAACTATCATGTTTATACATACATTTCCATTAGTAAATTTTGGTAGAAGATGATGATGTTGGTCGGTACCCAGTGCAAATATTGCACCTGGTACCATACCTCGTGAGATACTTAATTTTATCGGTAACGACCCATTGTATTGAAAAAGATAAACTACATGATCAATGTTTTCTATTGGCTAGAAAAATGAAAATTATTATGTACAAAAGATCCAATATACTGTTCTAAGCTACTTCATTGTTATACCCTCTAAAATTTATTATCAATACATTCAACTGTTGATTATTATAATTATGATAATTTATATATACAATTATTATAAAAAAATTATTATAATTACATCTACGCCATTCTCGCAAAGAACTTGTATCTGACTATCGACATGTCTTCGAATTTCATCCAAACTCTTCGGCCACGTCGACTTTTGAAATACTGGATGGGTTTCGATGAATTGCCATAACTTTGTCTAGACATTTAATTGGTGATTTAACACACATTTATGTTAATATGTATATATTAATATATAAGTTTAGATATAATGCACTGATTTCTATAGACACCTGCGACTGTATAAAATCTTCTCCCTCTAAAGATAATTTAAACGATTTCCAGTCGAATGTAGCTCGTTTTCTATAAATATCCAATGGTCCACTTGGCAAATCCTTTATCAAGTTCTTATCAGTAGACATCATGCGTTTTTCTCTTGCGAAACTAGAATTTTCGCAATGTGTGGTACATGAGTAACGATTGTAATAAATCTTATTATTTGACATGAAAAATGACAACACACGGTTATTCAGTAATTTTTTCATGATTAAAAAATTCCCGATTTAATCATCAATAATTGTCAATCACATCAATAACTGTAATGGCAAAGTGACTGTCCATGACCAACCATTGTTGACTAGAATATTCGAAATATCATCTGATATGAAAATTTCAATAGTATAAGCAACTAGATAGTAATGTATAGTAAAAAATGTGCTATCTAACACTTACTATCCTTACTTACATGAATATAATTCTATTCAATTATATTACGATATCTTTATTGTTATATGTTTACAATAAAACAAAACTTGATAGACAACACGTTAAATGATAACATGTTGCCTAGTTTATTAGCAACTAGTAGCGTGTAAACTTTATAATTGTCACTCGACTCTGCTTCTCTATCAAATATATCTTAGTCGCATTCGCATGGACTATGAACTTTGTAAAGCCATCACGTAAAAAAATGTAATCGTACTCCCATAAGGCCATAAATATCGATGTAGCACTGCAGCGCCTGGCAAAGCACTTAGAAAAGATTTATTATGTTACTAATGATAAGCACTTTCTGAATATTTTACTAATGACAGTTCAGCGTTTTAAACAAATGTAATTGTAAACTTATAATTTTGATTGTGCTTGGTCGATTTACAAAACTTTTACATGTGATAACCTTTGAGAGCATGCTCAAGTAGCGTTGAAGAGGAAAGCAGAGCCAAGACCAGGGTGTGGCGAACGATGAGATACTTGACTTGTATAAAATATTTTAATTTAAATTTCTATATATTTTAATTTTATTCAAGGTGACTATAATTAAATCTATCGTTGAGAGCGCTCATTGTGTATTTAAATGAAAATAAGATATAATATATAAGGATATAAATTTTGATGAAACAAAATACTTGTGCATTAAAATAAGGAAAATATTACTTTTAAACAAAAAATTAATTTTCTATAAATTTTTAGAGAATTAATTTTA